ATGTCGAGCGTTCTAGCAGCCATCCCGCCGCTGTGCCAGCGAGCAGGGCGTCGTCGCCACGGCCGTCACGGCTGGCTTCGCGGGCCCCCCCGGCGCTGGGAGCGCTGCGGCCCTGGCGGAGCGGCCCCCCGCCCCTCGGGCCGAGGAGGCTGGCTCTCCACCGCCGCTGTTGGTGCCGCTCGGGCACCCCCAAGCCGCTCCCGCGGCCTGCCGCGCACACCCCAGCAGGCTGGCACCCGCGCAGCCCACGGCCAGCCCAGCCCCCGCCGAGCACAGGGCCACTGCTGCACTGGCCCAGAGCAGCGAGGTGGCCTGCCCCTCGGGGCAGTTGCAGTCGCCGCACTGCAAGCCTGGGCAGCTCGGCAACGTCACTGACGGGCAGGTGACTGAGGGGCACGCGGGGCAACTCGCAGCCAGCCACGACGTGCGGAAGTGGAGGGATGCTGGGAGGAAATCACGAGCAAGCCCAAGAGACCCACTGGGAGCATGCCCTCAGAAGCTTGCGCCAGAACAGATACGGTCGCATCTGTGCTGTGAACATAAACGGTACGCTGAGAACGAAGGCCAAGAACACACATCTTAAATATGACAAATATCCCGGCAACTTAACCGAACAGCGATGTGTATGAGCAAATCTGGAAGCATTCCCCTTAATATTCAGGTGAAAAACCCAGTTGTAGAATTCTGCTGTTCTCGCCGTCGCAGTCGCATTCGCAATGACAGTCGCAGTGGCAACGGCCTCAGCCTCAGCCTGCCTCAGCCTCAGCCTGCCTCAGCCTCAGCCTCAGCCTGACTCAGCCTCGGCCTGCCTCAGCATCAGCCTCAGCCTCAGCCTCAGCCTGCCTCGGCTTGCCTCGGCCTCAGCCTCAGCCTGCTTCGGCCTCAGCCTCAGCCTCAGCCTGCCTCAGCCTCAGCCTCAGCCTGCCTCAGCCTCAGCCTGCATCAGCCTCAGCCTCAGCCTGCCTCAGCCGCAGCCTGCCTCAGCCTCAGCCACAGCCTCAGCCTCAGCCTCAGCCTCAGCCTCAGCTTCAGCCTCAGCCTCAGCCTCAGGCTTGCCTCAGCCTCAGCCTCAGCCTGCCTCGGCCTCAGCCTCAGCCTCAGCCTGCCTCTGCCTCAGCGTCAGCCTCTCAGCCTCAGCCTGCATCAGCCTCAGCCTCAGCCTCAGCCTGCCTCAGCCTCAGCCTCAGCCTGCCACAGCCTCCTGAGCCTGCCTCAGCCTCAGCCGCAGCCTGCCTCAGCCGCAGCTTGCCTCAGCCTCAGCCACTGCCTCAGCCTCAGCCTCAGCCTGCCTCAGCTTCAGCCTCAGCCTCAGCATGCCTCGGCTTGCCTCAGCCTCAGCCTCAGCCTGCCTCGGCCTCAGCCTTTGCCTCAGCTTCAGCCTCAGCCTCAGCGTTAGCCTCTCAGCCTCAGCCTGCATCAGCCTCAGCCTCAGCCATAGCCTGCCTGAGCCTCAGTCTCAGCCTGCCTCAGCCTCAGCCTGCCACAGCCTCTTGAGCCTGCCTCGGCCTCAGCCTCAGCCTCAACCTCAGCCTGCCTCAGCCTCAGCCTCAGCCTGTCTCAGCCTCAGCCTGCCTCAGCATCAGCCTCAGCCTCAGCCTCAGCCTGCCTCGGCTTGCCTCGGCCTCAGCCTCAGCCTGCCTCGGCCTCAGCCTGCATCAGCCTCAGCCTCAGCCTCCCTCAGCCGCAGTTTGCCTCAGCCTCAGCCACAGCCTGCCTCAGCCTCAGCCTGCCTCAGCTTCTGCCTCAGCCTCAGCCTGCCTCGGCGTGCCTCAGCCTCAGCCTCAGCTAGCCTCGGCCTCAGCCTCAGCCTCAGCCTCAGCCTGTCACAGCCGCAGCGCCAGCCTCTCAGCCTCAGCCTGCATCAGCCTCAGCCTCAGCCTTAGCCTGCCTCAGCCTCAGCCTCAGCCTGCCTCAGCCTCAGCCTGTCTCAGCCTCAACTTCAGCCTGCCTCGGCCTCAGCCTGCGTCGGCCTCAGCCTCAGCCTGCCTCAGCCTCAGCCTCAGCCTGCCTCGGCGTGCCTCAGCCTCAGCCTCAGCCTGCCTCGGCCTCAGCCTGCCTCGGCCTCAGCCTGCCTCAGCTCGGGCATCCAATATATTGCACAGGACTGGCGTTCTGGGAACAAGAAGATCACGAAATGGCCCACAATTGGCTCCGGGCAATCAAGAAATTGTACAAGAACAGTGTTCCGGGAACACGGAAAACACGAAGTGACCTACAGCTGGCTCCGGCCTTTCAACATGTGGCCTCGGAATGATGTTCTGGGAATACGAAGAACACGAAGTGGCCTACAGTTGGCTCCGGCCATTCAAAATGTGGCCTGGGAATGGTGTTCTGGGAACACGAAGAACACGACGTGGCCTACAGTTGGCTCCGGCCATTCAAAATGTGGCCTGGGAGTGGTGTTCTGGGAACACGAAGAACACGAAGTGGCCTACAGTTGGCTCCGGCCATTCAAAATGGGCCTGGCTGGGAACTGGCCTACAGATTCAAAATGTGGCCTGGGAATGGTGTTCTGGGAACACGAAGAACACGACGTGGCCTACAGTTGGCTCCGGCCATTCAAAATGTGGCCTGGGAGTGGTGTTCTGGGAACACGAAGAACACGAAGTGGCCTACAGTTGGCTCCGGCCATTCAAAATGGGCCTGGGAATTGTGTTCTGGGAACACGGAGAACACGAAGTGGCCTACAGTTGGCTCCGGCCATTCAAAATGTGGCCTGGGAATGGTGTTCTGGGAACACGAAGAACACGACGTGGCCTACAGTTGGCTCCGGCCATTCAAAATGTGGCATGGGAATGGTGTTCTGGGAATGGAGTCCTAAGGAGTCCTAAGAATTCTTAAAGATTCTTAAGGTTTCCTGGGGCTGCCGGATCTGTCCGGTTTTGTCCGGATCCCGCCCAGACCCCCCTGGGGCGTCAAGATGGTCTCTTTTGAGACCATTAGAAACCTATCAGCAAAAGCTGTTAGGTAAAAAGTACCGACGCAACAACCCAACTCCACCTTCCCAACTAGACGTAAAGCTTGAAGACGCACAGTGGGAGAGCTACTCGCGCGACTCGCTTCACGACGGCCCAACTGCCTTTGGACTGAGGACAATCCCTTCATCCAACATGCATGGGGGATGGCATGAACGGCAGAACGGCGTTGACGTCCACCGACCACTCGACGCTGCGCTGAAGAGGGACCCTTCAGGCAACACTGCACCACCCGAGTGCAACCCAAGAAACGATGTCGAATCTCGGAGTACCCCCCGAGACCAACACCGACAAGCCACTACCCAAGACAGTGCGCTTCAGGAGCACAAGCCCACCGAGGCGGGAGCCAGCGAGGCCAGCGGTGCATAACCCACCACGACCCGACCGACCTCCTGCACAGAGCACATACAGGGCGACCAGCCACCTTGGCAAGGAGACGTCACATTTTTTGAACTTACCAGCAAGAAGGCTACTACATGCCTTTCGCTGGAGCGATTTCGACAACATTGAGGAGACGTTCCTCAACGACCTGCATGAAAACGAGAAGGGCAGTTACGACACCAAGATCGAAGGCCGACCCGACGAAGCTAATACACCACAGACGCAAGACGATCGACGAGCAGACCGAACGACTACGCCCGACACAGCCACAATTACTTCCACACATACCATTGCACAACCGATTCGGTTGTCTAGCAGACGCGACGACCGACGCGGACGATGGTAACGACGACGCACAACACATGTACGAACAACCAACACGCCGCGTGCAAGTCGAGGCTGTCCTGGCGAGGCAAGGATCAAACTTCGAGACGGGCTCGAAGGGCGGGGTGGCAGGACGAGTGCTGCCCGCGTCTGCCAGGGGGGATGGAGAAGGGCAGGGGGGGGGGGGGGGGGGGCGGACGGCCACTGCCCGCGCCCCCGCGGTCCCCCCGAGCTCGCCACCCCACTGTCCCCATGGCGGAGCTGGAGCTCGCCCGAACGCCCCAGCGGCGGGGCAAAGGACAGCCGAGACACCCCCCCACCGACAAGCAGGAGCAAGCACGTTGCCTGGGGTTCGCCCCTGCCGAGGGCACTGTGACCCCTAGCCATAGCGGGGCGAGGTGGGGCAGCCACGAACCCCACTTGAAGTCGGCGCACGGAGGCCTTACAAGTGCGCCCACAACCAACAGAACACGACCAGCAACAATCCGACCACCCAACGACCCACTGATAAGCACGCAGACCAAGCAGGCACGCGGCCTGGGGTTCGCCCCCACCGAGGGCACTGTGACCCCTAGCCATAGCGGGAGGAGGCGGGGCAGCCAAGAACCCCACTTGAAATCGGTGCATGGAGGCCTTGCAAGTGACCCAACGCCCACGCGCCACGACCAGCAACGAAGGGACCACCCGCCGCAATGCTACACTTCCGACAATCACGACCACGACCACAACCAGCAATAACACGACCACCACAACCACGACCACAACCAGCAACAACACGACCACGACCACAACCACGACAAGCAACGCAACCATTTGGACTCTCACGACGACCAAGCAGTTACGACACAACCAGCAGACAAACAGGAAACGCAACAAGCAGATGACAGCAAGTACGGAACAGCAACCAGACAGCGGACTGCCATGCAACCATTCAGGTACCAGCAATAACGACCACGACAGCTAGCCAAAGACAGAACGCACATTGATACGAACAACTACCTGGGCTCCATCGAGGACAAGACCTGCAAGTGCGACATTGGCGACGCGCGCAGCGCCAGAAAGAGGATACAGACGACCGCCCTACCCTTTCTCAATTACTTGATAGACGGGGAAGACCCGCATCCAGCTGCGCGATACGCCATCGCCAGCGCGCCCAACGGCAACGGGCACCACGACGTCAAGCACGTGTTCACCGACACCTCGTTCAACGCAAGGACTCCGGGCAACTGTGCTTGGACCTGCGCTATGCAAAAATAAGAAGCCAGCCTTCAATGCCGCTTCAGAGGTGCTTCCAGCGGCGTCGTCGCGAATAGTCACGCCATGGGTATCAAGAGCAACGAGATCACGAATATGACTGGCGAGATCATGGCGGTCATCCAGGCACTCATGTGGCTCATCAGCACTGACGAAAAGCAGCATGCTTACATCTACACCGACTGCAAGGGAATTCCAGATTTATGCGATCGTACGGCTACTGCTTCGGCAGACGCAGCCCTTGCCAGGTTTCTGCCCATCGGTTGCGACGCCGCGAAGCAGACAATGCCGCTCGTCATGCAGCGCGTGCCCAGCCACGAGGGGATGCCCTGAACGGGCTAGTGGACGGCCTACCCAAACGAGCAAGATGCCTGGAGGGGAAGAGCGAGTGGGTGGACCAGCTGCCGTTCGACAACAAGGATACCGTGCGCGACAACGAGTACTACCAGTGGGAGGCAATACTCGAAGATGGCCACAAGGACCGACATGCCTATCCACAACGAGAAGGAGATCGACAAGAATACGGAGTACCACCACGGCGAGCTGAGCACCGACACCTAATTGCGCCAGTCATCCGACAGACCCCCACAACAGAAGTTCAGCTCAACGTCATGACCTTCAACGTGGAGAGCGTGAGAGAGGCATGCGCGCCACGGGCGCGTAAGCTCACGAAGCTAGCCAAGAGGGTGCGAGACTGGAGAGGGCCACTATTGCGGAAGCAATTCCAGAACTTGAACACCCACACTATCGGGATCCAAGAGGCGCGAAACAATGAGAGGGCAACGACTAGCAACAGGTACTTCATTGTCAGCAGCGAGCACGGCAACGACAACGCAGGCTGCGAAAGATGGATCAACACGATTGCCCCATGCGCGTCATCAGCAGGTGGGCCGAAGTACTTCAAGCCCGAAGACATCCACGTGCTTGTTTCACTACCACGCATCCTGGTCGCCAACATCATTGCAGATGCGGCCAGGCTGACAATGCGCGTGGCGCGCGCACCCCACGGCAAGAGGAGCGAAATGGAAAGACAGAAGTTCTGGAAAGCATTCAATGGTATGCTAACTCGGCACAAACCGAATATTATCATGATGGACGCTAACGGCAGGTTGGGCAGTATTCGTTCCTCGGCGGTGGGAGGCGCGGCACTCAGACAAGAAGAAGGCGATGCTGGGGCCCGACTTCATGACGCAGCGGCGACCAACGGCTACAGCGTCATGAATACCATTGTCTCCAACGGCAAAAGCCACCATACTTGGAAGGGCGCGAACGGGAAACAACATCGCATCGACTACATCATCATGGGCTCCGAGTGCAGCCAGACGACCACCGACGTCCGCGTAAAACCCGACATTGAAACTATGGAAAAGAATAACGAAAATACATCAACCTCCACCACGCCCATGGAAGACCACGCGCCAGTACAAGCTTCACTATGATGGAAGACATCGCGCAACACAACAAGAGGCATACTGCCAAATATAGACCGCGAAGCTATGCAGGACGAAAAAGCTGTCCGAATATTCGCACAGCGCCTGGAGGCGACAATGGTACCGCAGTGGAACATGGACTACGACGAGCACATCTACTACTACACCATGACGGTTTCAGAAGCGGCACAAGCAGCGCTTCCGAAGGCCAGCGCCAAAAGGTACGAGGAGTATATCAGCGGCGAGACACTGCGCGCGATACTCGACCGACGACGGCTCGCCAGGATGATCAGGATGACCAACGCCAGCTCGAGGTACCACCCAGCAGTAACAAAGCGAATCAGAATGGAAGCAGCGGCCACCATCGGGGACCCGAGCAGGAGCATTTCGAAGGGTCACATCCCCAGCGCGTGCACCATCGCAACCCAGTTGCTTATGACGGCAGACGAGGTCATCAACGCGGCCAACGTCGACAATTTCATACAAACAACAAGGAAGTGGCTGGAGGTTGCCAAGAAGCTTACCAACTTCATGGCCAACCGCGACTACGACCAATTCCTCGACAAGCGCGCAGAAGCCGCGGCTTCCTCCGGAGCAACAAGGGACCACTACAACGAATGGAACTACGCCAAGAAGCTGCAAATATTCTGCGGCAGAAGAAGACGCGAGGCCAGAGCTGACCCGCTGATGCATGACCGATGGGGGGCGGCGCCAGGAAGAGCGAGGAGGCCACAAAGCACTTCGGACTCAACGAGGCGGCGCAGCTAGGAAATCGAGACGACGTCATCAACGCCTGCAACAACGCCAAGGACCTGGCCAAAAATACCATGCACAGGCACATGGACAACTTTGCCAGCATCTACGAGCTCGGAGAGATTCTCTCGGCCTCACAACCGCGATGTGCACCGGGGCCCGACTCGATCACAAACGATCTCGCTAGGATGGCGCCACAGGGGATGGCTCGGCACATGAGCCCCATCATCGCCAAAGCGGCGCTATATTGTCGAGAAGGGATAACATACAAAAGGGTCAAGAATGGCATGCCTTTGGAAAGGTAAGGGCAACGAGGATAAGCTCGACAACCAAAGGTCTATAACGCTCGCCAACACGGTAATCAAGCACCACTATAGGTTCACCAGGCAGCGCATGACATACCTCACCCAACATACTTTTCAGCGCGCAGACGGGCGGGGGGCAGCACTGCAGCGCGGACTTCAACCACCTAACGCTGAGACTGCTACTTGGGGTGACCAACAGGAAAGGACACGACTTGGTGGTGATTATGATCGACCTCAAGGCGGCCTTCCACAAGGTGAGCAATGGCCTGAAATACAAGCTCGCGCAGTGCCAGGATGAGATCGATGATGTCATGGACAACGTTGACATCCCAGCAGCGCTGCATCCAGCTATCCGAGAGATCATGCGCAACGGAAACATCATCGAGCGCCACGTCAACAACGATCACATCACGACGATGCCGGCCGAAGCCCACAGAGACACCTGGCTCGACATCAACACGGAGGCAAGCTTCGCAAGGCCACGACTGGGATCAGGACCAGGCGTTCCCACCGCCGACTTCACCTTCAACGTGCTCATGTCAGAGGTCACCAAAGACTACCACCATGCAGCCTGCCTCGGCGAGGTCTACGTCGATATCCCGAGCAGCGACCGTATTATGCAGCAAGATGGTGAGCCGAAGGTGGTAACCTCGACGTCATGCGTCGACGACGTAAAGGGAGCTGCAACGGCCGAAGATGGCGATAATCTCGACAGTATTATAGCTACGATGTGGTCGCATCTGGCAAGGGCAACCCTCTCGAGGGGACTGCCCATCAACGCGAAGAGGTCCAGCTATATGGTCTACGCCAACTCCATGAAGGGCAAACGACGAGCACGACCATGCACCGCCAGCGACGTCAACTTCGACAGCCACGGAATGGAGCTGACCATCACCCGTTACACAAAACTGCTGGGAGCCATGCTCAACGACAGGAATGACATGACACAGGAAGTCACCATCAGGATACCGTCTACCAGGGAAGCTACGGGACCGATGCGAAGATCTCTCTTCCAACGGAAAGCCATCACTAATACTGCAAATATCCACTACCTCGAAGTCTTCGCTTTATCTAAAATGTTATACCACAGCGGCGCGTGGACTCTGACGAAGATTGGTGGCTACAGCAAACTGGAATCAGCTTGCTCGACGGCGGCAAGACAAGCACTCGGGATATCGCATCACGACATCAAGACGAAGGCTATCACGAACGCTGACATCATCGACATGGCGGGCATACCAACACTCCAGATGAGACTACGCACCCATCGGCTACAGCAACTTGGACGTCTCATTGATGGATGCCCTCGAGAACTGCAAGCGCTCATTGACGACGGCTTCCACAACGACGGCAATTGGGCCCAGCACTTGACCTTGGACATACAAGGCAACTCGCAATTCCTCGAGAACGACCACAAAACGAAGAACATACAGGACGCTCGAAGCTGGATCAGGGCTGCATACAACGACCCGCGCGGCATGACGTGCACGACCAGACTGGAATCCAAACGGGACTCAGCATGGCGCGCCGACGAGCACCGAAAGACCAAGTGGAAAGCACAGATATCAGAGACTTGCGACGGATCGATTATACCAGCCCCAGTGATACCACACCCAGACAACCACAAGGACAGTCAGTTCATGTGCTACACATGTGGAGCGATCCTCGCCAGTCGAACAGTACATGCCAAACACGTCAATCGACATCACAAGCCAGAAGCTGACATCAACCAATTGGCCGTTGGCAGCACATGCCAGATATGCTTACGTGAGTACCACACCACCAACAGGCTCATCAAGCACTTGAAGGCCTCACGACGGTGCGGAGCATCATGGGTCAATGCTCGCACGAACCTCACCGACAACGAGATCAACGCCAGCAAGAACGAGATCAAGCGGATTCGGAGGCTCAACAAGCACAACGGACTGCCCGAAGACTACGCCGAACTACCAGTACAACAGCTACAAGGACCTCCGATCGGACCCATTATTCCCACCAACCCTCTGGGCGTCGGTGGTCTAGAGGGTTTCCTCTTCCAACCCCCCCTTCTTCCCCTTCGGGGAGGGGCTTACCCGTCTCTCTACCCCCTCCCCTGGACCTGGACGGGGTTCCGCGGGTCGTTGGGGCGTCCAAGATGACCCAAGACGGCTCCAAGAGCGAAAAGGCGAGAAAGCGAAAAAACATTGATTCCCTTACGTTTGGGAAGGATGTTGGCCTCTTTTGGGGCCCAAGAAGCGATTCGAGGCACTCTAGAGGGGCACCGCTAATTGACAACCTCCCGTTCTTTGATAGATCTCCTCCAGCATGGCCCCAAGAGCGCCCCGAAGGCTCCCAAGAGCGCCCCAAGAGCGCCCCAAGAGGGCCCCAAGAGGCCCCAAGAGGCGCCCAAGAGGCCTCCAAGAGGCTCCCAAGAGACCCCCAAGAGGCCCCAAGAGGCTCCCCGAGATACGCAAATGGCCCCCGGGACCGCCAAGAGGCCCCAATGACTGTCTAAGAGGCCCCCAAGCTCGCAATTGTCCTCCTCCTCCTCCTCCTCCTCCTCCTCCTCCTCCTCCTCCTCCTCCTCCTCCTCCTCCCTCCTCCCTCCTCCCCCTCCCTCTCCGCCTCCTCCTCCTCCTCCTCTTCCTCCTTCTCCCCCCTCTCGTCCTCCACGTCCCCGCCCTCCTCCATCTCCTCCTCCTCGTCTTCCTCCTCCTCCTCCTCCCCCTCCTCCTCCTCCTGTTCCTCCTCCTGCTCCTCCTCTTCCTCCTCCTACTCCGGCGACGACGACTCCTCCTACATCCTCCACCTCTTGGGGCATATGGCGGCTTACCCCGCCCTTTGTTCTTCTGCATGCTCCCCCGCTTCCCTATCACCTCCACTCCCCTGGGACTCATTCTGGACGGGCTCGTGGGGATACGTTTTTTCGATCTGCGGCCCAAAGGACGGTTCCAGAGGGCGGGTCAATCAGGCTGACTGGGGCACAGCGCCAGATAATTTGCGAAACCATCCGTCACTGTCGACAGCCGACCGCACCTGCAAGCATGCCGAACGGAATTCAAGCAAGATAATTGCCAGCGGGCCAAAAGCCAACGCCGGAACGCACATGCGAGGAACAAAAAGAACTTCATTAAGCCGAACAAGAACGGCGGCAGACACGAAGGCCAGCGGAAGGTCGCACACTGGCGCCAGCTCCCGAGGCGCAGGCCTGCGAGAGACCGGGGGGGAGGCAGGCGCAGGAGGGAAAAGGGGGGAGAGAGGGAAAGGGGGAGAGCGGGACAGGGGGCAAAAGGAACCTCACTCACAGAGCACCTCATGTGCTCGAAGACAGGTCGTCTCTGAACCAGGCGTCAGTGGTCTTGTCGTGAGTCCCGAGTGGCAACATCCTTGCGTCCGTGGACGGGGGGGGCGTCGCGTGGGACCACGGCAGCACTAGCCACCGGCGTCCAGAGGCCCCGCCTGGGGGGGACTGCGGGCAGGTGTGCACCACCCGAACACCGCAGAAGGGCAGGGCGTCGTAGGCGTCCGCGAGCGACAAATCCAACCAGACGAAGGGGCCGATCCCGCTGGCATAGCCGGATGCCGGAGAACGCCTGTCAAGAGGAAGCACGGCCCTGTCAAAGGATGCACCACTTGTACAGGAAGCCAGCCTCCACGGCCCCCCTGCCAGTGCCCCATCGGGCGCACCCTGCCGCGTGGAAGGAGGGGCCACCTCGGAGCGTGCGCGAAGACGTGGCACTGTTGGGGGGAACCCGACTGGCGTGCTCAGCACCTCAGCGCACGTGGAGGGGGGGGGGAGAGGCGCAGCCGATAGCCGCAAATCTGGTGAATACTGGAGGAAGGAGAGGCGCCGGTGTGCCAGGCGACACAGACTGCCGAGGGCCCAACAGACCGTTGCCAGGGGCGCGTCAGGGGGGGCGGTCGTCGGCGTCGAGCAGCGGGGCGGGCTCGTCGTGGAAGGGCTGAGCCTGCCAAAGGATGAACCACTTGTGCAGGAGTGTGCCATACCTGGGCCCACCCGCATGTGGTGGCGGAAGCGGGCGGGCGCGCGCGTGCGCGCGCCACGCCGCGGCCACGGGCGAGCGCACTCCGTCGCAGGAGCTGGGGGGGGGGAACCTTCGCAGCAGTGGGCCGGGCCCGCCGTGGGAAGGGGGAGCCTGCCAAAGAAGTGCCACTTGTGCAGGACTGCAGCGTCATCAGTGGCTGTGCTCCCGTACGGGCCAGAGTAAGGGCCGGCGAAAGGCTGCGTTGTCCTGCGTCTGGAAGGCTGCCCCGTGGTCTCCCTGCAGCGAGAAGGGCACAGACAGAGGGCGGCTGACGGACCGATGGTCCAGAGGGGATGCTCCGCGGCTTCCGCAGGCCCCGTCGCTTCCGCCGACCCCCCGCGCCTTTCCTCTGGCCTGTTGTCACAGTTGGAGGGGGGAGTCGTTAGTGTGACTGGTCGGAAAGTGGTCGTCTGTCGTTGCCGCTAAGGTCGACATCCCGAACCTCCGCCGTCTCCGCCGAGACTTCCCCCTCCATTCCACAGCCTTGCTGGCACAGAGGACTGCTGACGGACAGCTTGACCAGAGTGGGGTGCTCCGCGGCTTCCGCAGCCTCCGCCGTCTCCGCAGTGACTGCCCGTTCCTTTCTTCTGGCCTGCTGGTGCAGCTGAAGGGGGGGAGAACGTGCATGCGAGCTGTGCACAGGTCACTGCAGGCTACCTCCTCTGGGTTCCCCACTGGGACGCCATCGTCTGATCACGATGTGGGGGGTGGCGTCGTGGCCTCTGCCTCAACCGCACCTCGATTCCCCTCTGGGACGTTGTCTTCTGTCGACGAAACGGGTGGAGGCAAGCTGCCGCTGCTGCTGCTGCAGCAGCAGCTGCGGCAGCTGTGGTGCTGCAGCGGGTCGGCGTCGTCGTTGTCGGCGTCAACGTCGTCGACGTCGGCGCCGTCGGCGTCGGCGTCGGCGTCGGCGTCGTCGTCGGCAGCTTTGGTTTTCACGTGTCCTTAAGCGTCCGTTTTCCTCCCGGTCTCAGGCAGTCGAGGACCCAACATGGCGCAGTCGGAATGTAGTCAGAGGGAAGGCGCCTGCCCGGCGGGGGGGAGCCGCCACCAGAGCAAGGCCACCAGTCGTCGGATGTACTCCGTCGCAGGAGCTGGGGGGACAACCTCCACAGCAGTGGGCCGGAACCGCCGTGGGAAGGAGGAGCCTGCCAAAGGATGTGCCAATTGTGCAGGACCGCAGCGTCACCAGTGGCTGTTACCCCGTATGGGCCTGAGTAAGGGCCGGCGAAAGGCTGCGTTGTCCTGTGTCTGGATGGCTGTCCCGTGGTCCCCCAGCAGTGAGCGTGGCTCACAGTGCCGCGTGAGCCGGGCGCCACCGACCCAGGTGCAGCTGCCGCTGCTGGGCCCAGTCGACGTTGAGGCCCAGCGCGTCGCTGAGGACCCGTGCGTCGCACTTGTGGCTGCGGAAGGACTCCAGGAAGAGGTGGCAGTTCTGCGGGTCGCGCCGAAGCGGGTCGAGCGCGCCCTTGCTGCCGGGCACAGACTGCCGCTTGGCGAAAGCGTGCCAGGTGCCAGTGAACATCGATCCTAGTGTGACTTGGAGTCGTCGCATCGCTTCGCCGGGCGTCTCCCCGAGGAGGTCCCACTGGATGTGGTTGATTCCTGTTTTGTACAGCTGCTGCCCCGCGTGGGGGTCTTTGGGCCCTGGCCATTGCCGCTGGTCGGGCCTCTGGTGTGGCCGTGTGTCCTGGCCGCAAGTTTCCGCCGCAAGGGCCTCGCTGCCCTGGCTGGGGGACTCGCGATCTGCTCGCAACAGCTCCAGCTGCACGCCTGGCAGGACCCTGTGGGGAACTGCAGGCCTCGAGGTTGGCCGCCAGGCTGGCGCGGCGCGGGGGGAACTGCTCGCAATTGGGAGGCGCGTGCAAGGATGGGAGTTGTGCCCATGTCCTGCAGTAGGAGTGCCCTGCGCAGTACTGAGCGCCCGCGTATGCTGGCCCGAGTCGTCTGCCTCAGCCCCAGCCTGGGGATGCTCTCCTTGCACGGTGCGGGGGGGGGGGGGGGGGGGGGCGTGGCACAACCGGTGGGTTGCGCCCATGTCCTGCTGTGACAGTGCCCTGCGCAATAGGAGGAGGAGGAGAGGAGGAGGCGCAGCCGATAGCCGCAAGATCTGGTAAATTGAAGGAGGGGAGGGGATCGGCGATGCATCCTCGCGCGGGGCAGGTCGAGTCGTCTTGGATGGCTCTTCCCTCGTAGGCGTGCGTCCGCGCATAGTGGCCCGAGTCGTGCGCCACAGCCTCAACCTGGGGGTGCTATCCTTGCACGGTGCTGGGGGAACGTGGCACAACCACGTCGTTGTCGGCGTCTACGTCGTCGACGTCGGCGTCGTCGGCGTCGGCGTCGGCGTCGGCGTCGTCGTCGGCTTCGGCGTCGGCCTCGGCTTCGCCTGCGCCGAGATATGGGTTGTGCCCATGTCCTGCTGTGAGAGTGCCCTGCGCATGAGCCGCACACTGGTCACTGCGCGTTGCCTCCTCTCGAGGGTCGTTCGTATGAGCCGCGCCCTGGAAACTGCATCCCGGAGGACAGCTGGCGCGCTGGTTGCGCTGTGAGGGAAATTCCGCGGCTTCCGCAGCCTCCGCCGTCTCCGCCGTGACTTCCCCCTCCATTCTTCTGCCTTGCTGGTGCAGAGGACTGCTGACGGACAGTTTGACCAGAGGGGGGTACTCCGCGGCTTCCGCAGCCTCCGCCGTCTCCGCAGTGACCTCCCGTTCCTTTCCTCCGGCCTGCTGGTGCAGCTGAAGGGGGGGGCGTTCGTGTGAGCTGTGCACTGGTCACAGCAGGCTACCTCCTCTCGATTCCCCACCGGGGCACGATCGTATGACCACGATGTGGGGGGGTGGCATCGTGGCCTCGGCCTCAACCGCACGTCGATTCCCTTCTGGGACGTTGTCTTCAGTCGACGAAGCGGGTGGAGGAAAGCTGCCGCTGCTGCTGCTGCAGCGG